GGGGGGAGCAAAACTAAAGATACAATAATAAAAATAGAAAGCATAAATTCCAAAATAATTAAATCAAAATTTAGGATACAATAAAATTGTTGTACAGAATGGGGGGAGTAGAACAAAACTGATATTCATTTTTTTAAAAAGTTAAAGTACTGATAGAAAAGAGACTCACTGAAGCTATTTCTGCAGGTCATCTGTCAGTTAGTTAATAGAATGGCTTATAAAATAAAGATGATCACAAGTAAGGGATGTGTTCCATTCAGCAATTAGCTGAATGGACCCTAAACGACCAAAGAAAAGCAGAAAAGAATGGGAAGGGGAAGGTGAATCAATAGAAATAGAACAAACAGAATAGAAATAATAAGAGTGCTAACATGCTGTAAAAATTGTAACCAACTGTACAGGAACAATTGCTCTAAAAATAACTAATAATCTAATTGCTGTGTAAATGGTCACCTGAAACACATTATTAAAAACAAATTGTTTTTGTGTACACATGCAATTTTGAAAAGCACATACTGAGATTTTTCACTACAAATTAAGTGCATCTTTTATTTTATTTTATTATTTTTTGTTTGCGTACCGTCAAATCGAATCTGACTGGTACAGGAAGAGATTGTCCCTCCTTTCTCCAGCAGAGTATCTGGTAGATTCAAACCATGTGCCTCTAGGTATTACAGTGCAGCTTCTTGCCACTAGGCCACCAGAGCTCACATAAGTTAAGTGCATCTTAATGTTTGAACTTACACTGAAAATGTATGCATAATTCTTAAAAAAAAAGTATAGATGTATTTCATCCCTTTTTAAAACTACATATTGTAAATGAAAGAATTGTAATTACCCAATGTGCTATAAAACATCATTATTTTGTATAAAATTAACCATGAAAACTAGTTTTCTCTAAAAACAAAACAAAACAACACCCCATCAATATTCTTAGTAAAGCTGGACCCAAATGTCAATAAAAGTACTCTTACCTTTCTTCTGAGCTATATAATCGAGCCAGTCCAAAATCTGCAAGTTTTATCTGCCCTCTGGCGGAAGAAAAACAAATAAAAAGAATTAAGCCTATTCTGGGTTAAACATACACATTCATACTCCAAAACTAATCAAAACTTTCTAAATAACATTTTTCTAAATAAATTTTCATTTTGATCATACTGCACAATCGACAAGGTCCTCTTACTCTAGGAAATGGTAATAATAAATAATTCCTAACAAGATAAAATGGAGAGAGGGTAGAAGAAGAGGGATGAAAATGTGCAGAGGGTGGAGGGATATTATAATCATTGGAGTTGTACAATTTCATGGGGGGGGGGATTGGAAGAATCTGTTCTCAAAAACAATGTATTTTAATTTTGTAAATAAACTACTATTAAAAAAACCCAACCAACCAAAACAAAACATCCAATAAAATTCTACTGAAAGGGCTAAGAAAACAAACAAAAAGCAAAATAAAACAAGGTGGATAATTAACACTCCACTTTGAATAGTTTCACTTACTATACATTACCATTACAATAGTGTTATTGTTATATTAGTAGCGCTGTTAACTATCAGAATGTCACTATTTCAGTACTCAGTATTTTAAAAGACTGCAATGAAAACAAAATAAATTTATTTCTACTAAAACTCAGCAAGAAAACAAATTACTTCTTTAGTTTAATACAATGATGCGTAAGAAATAGTATTTTTAAATATTATGGTCATTTTCCAATTCTTAGAGGTACTGGGTAAATAAAAACCTTTTCTATAGTAAGAAATCCTTAAGAACTGCAATTAGAAGCTTGAATTTGTTCTTTAGTTCCTTCAGCTTAAGGAATGCCAAGTGAGTTTGGCCCTTTTGATTTTCTCCAGTTCTCTGCACATTTCATTATAATACTCTACTTTGTCTTTCCATACTGCCCTTTGAAAATATTCTACTCAGCTCCTTAGTTTCTTGATTTCTTCCCTTTGTTTTTGGCTTCTCAGCACTCTAGTGCAATATTCAGAGTCTCCTCTGACATTCATCCTGGTCTTTTCTTCCTCCTGTCTTTGTAGTGACCTTTTGCATTGTTCCTGGATGATATTGATATCCTCTCACAGCTCAGCTGGTCTTCGCTCATTAGTGTTCAAGTTCTCAAGCCTGTTCCTGAGATGGTTTTGAAATTCGTGTGAGATAGACTCAAGATCAAATTTTGGTTCCCATAGATTTCATTTCATTTTCCTTAGCTTCAGCTTGTACATGCCTGAGTAGCTGGTGGTCTGTTCCAAAATCAGCACCTGGCCTAGTTTTCACAACTGGTACTGATCTTCTCAACAGACACAACCTTGCTTGTTGAAACTGAGGAGGACTTAAAGAAATTTTTGCAGGTCAAAGATTGCAGCTTTCAATACCAACTGAAGCTCAACATCAAGAAAACAAAGATTCTCAACACTGGGCTGATAGGCAGCATCATGACAGATGGTGAAGAGTCTGAGATTGTTAACACCTTTAGTTTGCTTGGCTCCATTATTAACACTCTTGGTACCAGCAGCCAGGAAATTAAAGACAACTTGCACTGGGAAAATTTGTTGTCAAGGACCTCTCCAGAGTACTGAGGAACAATGACGTCAGTCTGGAGACTAAGGTGCTCCAGATCTATGCCATACTCTTCACAACTGCTTGTTATGTGTCAGGAAGCTGTACAATGACTAGGGACGATAGGACAATTTGTGCCTTCGAGCTGTGGTGTTGGAGAAGAGTGCTGAATATACCACGGACGGCTAGGAAAACAAACAAGTTCATCCTAAAGAGGGTGAAACTATGATGCTACTTGGAGGCAAGCATTCTGAACCTTCGTATGACATACTCAGGGCAAGCTGCAAGGAGTGACTGGTCCTTAGAGAGACACATTCTTGGGTAGGTGGAGGGACAGCATAAGAGAAGATCCTCAATTAGATTGATTCAGTGACTAGATGTGTGACTAGATAGGTGTGTCAGAGACAGTAAGTTCAGCATAGGGTAGAGCCGGGTTCAGAGGTATTGTATGCAGTGTCACTGTGAGTCACAAGTGACTCAACGGCACATAAAAACACCTGTGAGGCAGGCTTCCCTTAAACAAATATAAATATCTAATATTAATAGACAATAACAGCTCAATTTAAGTCTGTTGATGAAATATGTAACAAAACTTAATACACATATATGTGTATGTTTACATTGCATATGTATACACACTTCAAAAAAAGTTCACTTTAAAACTAAGAAGCCTGCATGTAAATAAAAACCTTAAAGCCTATACTTAATCTAAAGCTGAAATCACAGTAAGAATCACTTCTATTAATACTACCTAGCAGTCTATCAACAAGTTAACCAAATATTAATGTACATTACAAAGTATTATTATAAATTTAATTCAACTAAGTATATTTAATGTCATTTTAGACGTTTGTTGGCGCAATCAAGTCAGTATTAAATTATAAATTATACTAAAATAGCTAAATGTTACACTTAAGCTAAATTTCAAGTTCTTTAACAGAAATAAGGTATGCCATTAATTCTGAACATAAATGTCAAGCTCATATTCATACCTATTGTTTAGAAGAATATTTGAACACTTAATATCTCTATGCAAAAAGTTCTTCTTATGACAATAATCCAGACCTTCCATGAGCTGTCTCATAAATGACTTTATGTGATTTTCATTAAAATGAACTAAGCCTGATTCCAGTAGTCCCATCAGATCATGGTCCATGTATTCAAACACCAGATAAAATGCACCTAAAAATGAGAATAATTAGAACATTAAAGATTTTCACTTGTGAAACTTCTCTTTAGATTTTTTTTTAATTGGTCACTGATATATTGATATATTAAAGAAAGAAACAAATGATATAACATTTTTAATATTCTATTTAGGGCCAAGGCACAAAACAATAATAACACATATAGGCTGAGGAGAGGCTCTAAATGCATTTTTTTCTAGATTTACAACATCACTCAAGAACTTGTTAGAAATGCAAATTTTTGAGTACCAGCTCATTCGGCACTTTTTGTTGTTGGAAACTTCTCTTTAGATTTAAAATTAAAATCCTGAGAGAAAAAATTTAGACTAGGAAAAAAGGTTTGGTCACTTCAGCAACATTCATCTTTCTCCCTGAACTGAGTATCCATGAATACATTCAAGGAAAACATTTAAACCAGGTGATATAACATAAAAACTGCCTTGTTAACAACTACATTCCATAGTGCCTATGTGTGACTAAGGTAAAAAAACACAAAACACACATTAACAGTTTTATATATCAGTCTCATCAAAACCTAGGAAAGATGAGCATAATTCATCAAAGAAAATAATACAGTCTGGAAACAGATGAACTTTAAGTGATTTCTTTTTGCTTTTACTGGACACTTAATTCCATTTGTACTTTAGAATTCTAGAGCATTTTAACTCATGAAAATTTATCTTTCTAAAAACCATCTTAATCTTGTTTACAAAAGCCTAGAATAAAACACGTCACAAATTTACACCAGTATTGAAAACTATACTTTTTTATAAAAACTTAAATAAATGGACACAGAGTCAGACCCATAGCTGTTTTCAAAGGCTGTAAATAACAAAAGATTATCCATCTTTCTTGTAAGGAGTAGCTATTCTGTTGCTTGGAATATACCCCAAGAAAATGAGAACTGAGGCTCAAATGGAGATTTGTACACCAACTTTCATAGCAAGAATACGGAAACAGCCCAGATGTCCAAACACAAACAAATGGATTTAGAAGTTGTGGTACATTCATTCATACTATGGGATACTGTGCAGCATACAGGAGTAATGATTTGTGAATTACTACCTAACCTGGAAAGGACTGTGAACTTTATGCTGAGTGAACTAACACAAGGACAAATACTGTATAAAACCATTATTGTAGAATGAGTATGAGGATCCAAGGGTAGGGGAAGGTACAAGCAGAAGAGTGAGAATGGAGGTTGCACAATTCGATGCGGGGGAGGGGGTATGTGTGAAGGAAATGAGAAGGATATTTTGTTAAAAACAATGTATTCAGCTTTAAAATAAAAAAAAAAATCTTAAGAAAATTCAACTAGTTTCTAATTAGGAAAAAAGGAAAGAAATTTTTATAACCTTGCATTAATTCTTATAAGTCGTATGTTAACATCTCTGGAACAAAAAAACCAATGTCATTATTTAACAGTAAAATGTTAAGTGTTATATGCAAAAATGTAGACTGTTACAAACTTAAGTGAATAAATAAAATTAAATAAAGTATAAATATTAATAGACATAATGATAATCACCAGAAAATAACCATCCTAATAAAAAAATTTAAAAGAGAAGGTAGCTAGGTCATTTTTTAAAAAGGCAAAAATACTTCATATAATATCAACAATTCATTCACTAGAGGATAAAAACAATTCATTAGAGGTTACTATCAAGTCACTTTTTTTCTCAGAAAAAAGAATAGTAAAGGGTAGGAATAAAAGTAAAAAATATTTTTTCAAATTGAGAAACATCAAATTATAAAACTCTTTATCTCAAAATAATTTGAATAAAAGGATTAATGGTCTCTACTGATTTTTTTTTCCTTTTTGTGAAGATGGGGTGTGAAAGAAGGACAATTCTAAACAATTCTAAAACTTAACATTCAAAATAAAATTTCAAGCATTCTGAAACGTGTCCTTTATCAAAAATGATATCTAAGCAGAGAACAAAACTAACCATTAACCACCCACAAACCAAACCTCATACTATTCAAGCAGATTCCAACTTACAGTAAACCTCCAACTGGTTTCTGAGGCTATAAATGTTAACTGGAGGAGACTGCCTATCTTTCTCCTCAGTGCAGCTGGTGGCTAGTCAAAACAAATCAAAACTACAATGAGAATAGAAATCAAACAAAAATCAGAAAAAAAAAATGGTTAGAAAGGACAGAGGAGGATAAAAACCCTTCCCCATTACCAATGGGACTGTGAAATGGTACAACTTTAAAAACAATGGTGAGTCTTCAAAGAACTAAAATTAGAACTTCCTATGACTCAACAACTATAATCCAAGGTATATACCCGAGAGAAATAAAAGCAGTAGAGACTATTTACAATAGCAAAAATGATGGAAAAGAATAAACTATCTGTCAACAGATTAATGGCTAAGAAAATGTGACACATATAGCACAATGGACTACTACTCAGTAATAAAAAGTTGTAAAACATACTACATATATGAATCCTGAAGGCATTATGTTGACTAAAATAAGTCAATCATAAAAGGACAAATACAATTGTAACAATTCAATTATACAAAAACAAGAGTAAGTGGGTATAGTTTAAAAAGGTGAAATGGCAAATGCTTAATTATCAGGATTGGAGGAAGACTCATCAACAATCTGCATTACGCAGATGACACAACGCTGTTTGCTGAAAGTGAGGAGGACCCGCAACATTCACTGCAGAAGGTCAAGGACTGTGGCCTTCAATATGGATTAAAGTTCAAAATTAAGAAAACAAATATTCTCACCACTGGGCTAATTGGCAGTATCATGATAGATGATGAAGAGATTGAGAATGTTAACAGCTTTAGTTTGCTTGGCTCTACAATAAGACTCTTGGTACCAGCAGTCACGAAATGAAAAGACGAATTCCACTGGGAAAGTCTGCTGTCAGAGATCTCTCCAAAGTACTGAAGAGCAAGGATGTCAGTCTGGTCTTTGCAATTACTTACTTTACATCAGAAAGCTGGACAATGACTAGGGATGACAGAAGGAGAATTCATGCCTTTGAAATGTGGTACTGGAAAAGAGTAATGAATATACACAACGGACTGCTAGAAAAACACACAGGTTTGTCCTAGTGAGGTGAAACCAAGCTGCTCCTTCAAGGTAAGGATTCTGAAGTTTCGTCTCACATACTGTGGACATGTTGCAAGGAGGGACCGGTCCTTGGAGAGGGACTCATGCTTGAGAGGGGGGAGGGACAAAGCAAGTGGAAAGACCCTGGATGAGATGGATTGATTCAGTGACTAGGGCAATGGGGGTAGGTCTATCGGAGACAATAAGGTTGATACAGGATAGAGTATAGGGTCGATACAAATCACATGCAACTCGATGGCACATAACAACAAAAACAACAAGAATAACCAAAGAACAATAAATGAGAAAGTTAAAAAATGTTATTATTTAAAACATTCTAATATTAACAGAGAAGAGGCTGGAGAGCATTATGCTGAGTGAACTCAAGTCTCGTGACAAATACTATATGAGATCATTATTGTAAAAATAGATAAAGTATTAGTAAGATAGTAGCAAAGTCCAAATGGGGAAGAGGGAGGAGGAGGATTGAGGGTGCTGAGGTAACAAAATCTCGAGGTCCCAGAGTTTAGTGGGCAGAGCAACCTGAAAAGGTGGTATAATGGTGGACATGGATCAATGGAGATTAATTTTATAAAACACAATGTAAGGGAATGATAATATGAAATAAATGTCAATAGAGGAATGTGTGAAACACAACATATATGAGGTTTCGTATGCAAGCCAATATATATATATATATAATTTTTTTTTTAACCCCAAACATTCAAACACTCAAATATCCATCCCATGGTATTACTTCTGTTGGCTCAAAGACATAGTCATGGCTTTTGTGGGATTTTATGTCCAATTAGTCTAACAACACTTTAGAATTATTACTCCAGAAGTCTTAAAACCATTCAATACAACAATCATCTGTACTTACATGGAGCCACAGAGGCAGTAGACCCAGAAGGTAGAGATGAGATTGATCTCGAGGTCTGTTGTGATGAACTACTGCCTCAATGGCCATAAGAACTGAATGCCAGCAGGCTTTTAATAATCATTCTGATCAAGTCTTAAAAGATTAACTTAATCAAAAGGGAATAAAATATGGAACAGAACTTCAAATTATTAAAAATTCCAAACTTATCTGACCTTAATATACTGGAGGATTCTCTCTAAACTAGGATTGGCCCCTGCTGACAATATAAAGTATATGAGATGAAGTCTCACTATCTATGCCTCCCTAAGAAGCACTCTGGTTACATATCCTCCAAGACACATTTGTTTGTTCTTTTGGCAGTTCATAGGATTTTCAACTCTTTGCCAGCACAATAATTCAAAGTCATCATTGAGTCTTTCTCAGTCTTCCTTATTTACTATCCAATTTTCAGATGCATATAAATCAACTGAAAAAAAAAAAACTTGGAAAAAGCTTGAACTGCTGTTGTTAGGTACTGTCAAGTACAACTACAGAAACTCTATGAACAATTGATCTGAACCATGTCCTATCCTGTGCCATCCACATAATCTCAGACATACTCAAACTCACTGCTGTAGTGTCAATCCACCTGACTGTGGGTCTTCTCCTTCACTGGCCCTCCATCTTTCCAAGCATGATGACCTTCTCCAAGCTAAAAGTCTCTACTCGCATGCCTAAAGTATGTAAGATAAAGCTTCATCATCCTTGCCTCCAAGGAGTACTCTTGCTGTACTTTCTTCAAGACATATTTGTTTATTCTTCTAGCACCACAAGAGTTCTCCAACACCACAGTGCAAAGGCATAAATTCTTCTTCTGTCATGCTTAGTCACTGCTTAACTCTTTCAGATGCACAGCAACTAACTGAAAGGACTATAGTCTAAATCAGGCATGTGTTAGATCTCAAATCATTGTTCCTCAGTAATTTGGAGAAATCCCTGATTGCAGATTTCCCCAGTGCAATATATCTTCTCATCTCCTGGCTTCTGGTACCAAGTGT